AATCTCCATTATGGTTTCAGAATCCATAAGTGCAGAGACATGTCGAACTCTAGCTCATCTCATCAACCTAAAGATAAACTAGGTCTATCTTTGGTGTTAAAAATCAAGGATTTCCGAGAAGAAAAAAATGAAATGAAAAACTGAATCTCTCATTAAATTGAAAATAATTCAACATTTAAATAAACTTTACAAGATAATATTATCTAAAAAGATAACTAAACAATTTTATCTAATTTAATTTAAATGATAACAACCTAAAACAAACAAATAACTTAAACTTCCTAAAATATAGAGATAATGGCTAAATAATATGATGTAATTTCTAACAATGCCTCCCTTAAATTGAAAGTCTTTAGATTTTAGTTTAAAGAAATCTGGATAACACCATATCTGCAGATCTACAATCTGAAATCTGCAGACCCTCCCTCAAACTGAATTCTGCATGCTGCAAACACCAAGTAACTTTCTTAGTTTTGAAAAATCTGCTACTTTGAGGGATTTTGTGAATATATCAGCCACTTGATCTTCTGTTCTGCAATAAATCAACTCAATTGTTCCATCTTCTACCAAGTTGCGCAAGAAATGATACCTCACATTTATATGCTTGCTTCTCCCATGTAGAACTGGATTTCTAGAAAGCTTAATGGCTGAACTGTTATCACAGTAAATTGAAGTGGCCTCATGTTGATTCAACTCAAGTTCTTCCATAATTCTTCTCAACCAAATAGCTTGATGAGCACAAGAAGTTGCTGCCACATACTCTGCTTCTGTTGTGGACAAAGTCACAATGGGCTGCTTCTTTGAAGACCATGAAATTGCACTAGATCTCAACATAAAAACAAACCCAGAAGTGCTTTTTCTATCATCCAGATCTCCAGCATAATCACTGTCTGTAAAGCCTACGAGATCTGTCTGGTCACCCTTCTTGTAGAATAATCCAAAATCTGCAGTTCCACATAAATACCTGAGAATTCTTTTAGCGGTCTGCAAGTGCAACTCATTTGGATGCTTCATGTATCTGCTAATCAGACTTACACCATGCATTATATCTGGTCTTGTTGCTATAAGATACATCAGACTTCCAACAATCTGCTTATACAGTTTGCTGTCCATAGATTTGCCTTCTGGATCTTTCACAAGCTTTACTCCTTTGTCAACTGGTGTAGTGACAAAATTGCAGTTCCTCATTTGAAATATGTCCAGAACTTCTGCACATATTTTTTTTGACAAATAAAAATTTCAAAATCTGACCATACTACTTCTAGACCAAGAAAATAATGCAACAAATCTAGATCTGTCATATCAAATTCAAGCTTCATGGACTGCTTCAACTTTTTCAACATGCCAAAATCATTCCCAATATAAATTAAATCATCAACATATAAGCAGACTATAATCAATTTACTTTCATTTCTAAATTTGATGTAAAGTGTATGCTCATAAGGGTACTTTTGAAAACCTTCCTTCAAAAAATAAGTATCAATTCAACTATACTAAACTCTAGGTGCTTGTTTTAGTTCATATAAAAATTTTAAAATATATAGATTAACAGAAATGCTTTTTTAAAATCAAAGAACCAAA